AACTAATTAATTTTCCTAAAACTAACTAAATCCCAATTTAAAAGGAAAACTAAACAAAATGTAAAATGACTATTTTTGTTATTTTCCTCTTATTTTGTAATGTTAATTAACTAATGAAAAATGTTAAAATGAGGTTCTAAAAATGCAAGTATGCTATTTTTGTATTTTTCATGAGTTATATCAATTAAAAATGCACAAAAATGCATATAATCACAAAATCATGCAATTAATTCCCTAAAATTCAAATAATAAAAGAAAAAAATCCTTATTTTAATGAATTCTATAGGAGTAATTTAAGCGAGACAAAAATCACGTGCTCACAGCACATAAGTTCAATTCAACTATATAGACCTATCCAAAGTCTCGGGACACCGATTGGAGTCCAATAACATCAAAGTAACTCTTGGTCAAACTTATGAACTCTTAAGTTCTTCAAATTGTCAACTTTCGATAAATTGTGTCAAATTCATTTAGGAACCTCCGAAACTAAATTCGAACATACGTAAAAGTGAAAAATCATCATACAAACCTATCGAAACAATCAAAACCCGATTCCGAGTCCGTTTATCCAAAAGTTGAACCTTGGTCAACTCTTCCAACTTAAAACATTTAAAGCGAGAATCATTCTTCCAAATCAATTCCGAACCGCTCGAAAATCGAAACCAACCATACATTCAAGTCATAATACATAATATGAAACTACTCAAAGTCTCAAACCACCGAATGGAACACTAAATCTCAAAACGATCGGTCGGGTCGTTACATTCTTCCCCACTTAATCATACCTTTGTCCTCGAACGTGCCAAGAGTCGTTATAGCCATCAAATCGATGTATAAACTTTCCGTACACATACCCATGAGTGATCCCATATAACCTCAACCAATATAAGTCCGATAACACAATCTAACCGAAGATCTTTACCTCAACATTAGCTCTCAACCCTTAGAACCCAATCTCCAACTCTCGAAATTCATTATAATACCTGATTCTGGCATCTATACGCTATATAAATCTGAATCTAGCTGCATCAAGTCGTAACCATATCGCATGTACAATCATATGATATTCCACATAATCCAGATACATACCAATAACTCCCGACCATAATAGCTGCTCAAATAGCAAACCCGGTACCGGTATCTAACCTTCTATCAATTAAAACCTTGTTCCAAATCTTCGTACACTGCCAATGAGGAAAGAAATATGTAAAAACTCATAACCACCCATCACATCAGTAAGTCATGGAGATCTCTTGCCCGACAAGAACCTTAGCCGAAATCTAAGCTAACTAGTGACATTATTCTTCGAAACGTACCTTAATCAAATCTGATGGCACTCTTTTTAGGCCCACTAACTTTACCTCATCCAATACAAGTTTCTCTAACAACATGCCACACCAATCCTACCTAGAGCCACTTAGCATGCAATTAGTGTACCAAACAAGCAACAACTCGGATGTACCTAATGATGGAAAGGAATCAAATGATAGAATTGACCATAAGCTCAACAGTTACACCACGAAGCGCAATGCTATGAACCCATCACACAAAGGAGAAACAAAACACACGAAATAAGCACAATGATCCGATCCCAACATAACTCTGTTGCGATGCGTGATCCAATACAAATACCGGCTCACATGGAATACCTTGAGGCGTGAGTCTCACAATCAATAACCATGTGCAGAATATTCAGAAAACACGCAAGGCGCATGAACATAACCATGGAAAAATGTATATCACTCTATATATATACCATAAATAAGAAGACCATAACCAAGGTGCAATCAACCATTCAACACCCTAGGAGCTATCTTGTTGGAATTTCGCCACAAAGCCCAAACATACTGCATCATGTGTACAAATAGTCAATAACCTCACAACTCATTGTATCATAAGAGAGTAACACATGGAACATATCAGAATATGAATGAGATCAACCCTAATCGATGACACCACCATCAGCATTAGTTGTGCTGAGTAAACAAATCTGAACTGATGTCGAATACACTTTATCGTTAGGCCTCAATTCTGATCCTCCCGAAATAAGTAGATAGCCTCCGAAAAGCCCACAATAATAATTTTATAGCACGTACCATCAGTCGTCAACTCTTAGCATACCTTCACGGTCCGCAACCAAGGAACAAGCTTCATTTGAGAATCCTCTTAGTCTTCAGATCCTTAGAATACCATAATCTCCATATCTGATCCCAACTACACTACTTAAATGACTAACACATTCATCATTCACGATCATCCCAGGAGAAATACTTTCATAATTCTTCCGTGTCACAAGGCAAAATCTGAGCATTGGCGATCAATCAATCAAGCATATAACATAACATAACATAAACAAACCCAATATGTTCCCACCAAGTGGGGTCTGGGGAGGGTAGTCTGTACACAGACCTTATCTCTACCTAACAGGTAGAGAGGCTGTTTCCAATAGACTCTCGATTCAGGAAGGGTAATAAGAAGAAGTGGATAGCAAGAAAGGAAGAAAGGGGAAAGAGAAAAGAAAAAGGGAGAGATAAAGGATAAGTAGTACCAAATACTAGCAACAAGAAATACAATACCTGAGGCGAACAAAACCACATAATGTAACAAAAATCTAAGAATATGAAGGGACATGCGTGCTACTAAGACTATCGGTGAGCAACTAAAAACTACCCACTAACCTTCTACCTTAATCCTCGACCTCCATACCCTCCTATAAAGAGTCATGTCCTCAGTAAGCTGAAGCGATGTCATGTCATGTCTAATCACATCTCTCCAGTACTTCTGCCTACCTCGACCTCTTTTCAAACTCGCCATGGCCAACCTCTCACACCTCCTAACAGGGGCATCAATGCTCCTTCTCTTAACATGTCCGAACCATCTCATCTGTGACTCCCGCATCTTGTCCTCCACGGAGGCTACTCCCACTCTGTCTCGGATAACTTCATTCTTAATCTTATCTCTCCTGGTACACCCACACATCCATCTCAACATCCTCATCTCTGCTACTTTCATCTTCTGCACGTGGGAGTTCTTGACTGGCCAACACTCAGTCCAATACAGCATAGCCGGTCAAACCACCACTCTATAAAACTTGCCCTTAAGTCATGGCGGCCGATCGATAAATCAAGCGATTACCGTAATACTAGTCAGGTAACCGCAAGTCAAAGCACAGTGCGCCTTCTGGAGTGCGCACCTTTCTCAAGTGGTATCGAATAATGCTAGCATTCTTCTAAACATCTAAATTCGTCCATGCTATCTAGATCTCATGACCCCATCCAGGAGAAAATATCATAATGCGCAACATATCCCTTATGTCGGTAGACATCCGGCTCAAGCCTTGGTCGACACTATCAAGAACTCTTCGAAACCCGTCCTCACATAACCAAAGTCAACTCTTTGTCAAACTTATGAACTCTTAAGTTCTTCAAATTGTCAACTTTTGATAAATAGTGTCGAATTCTTCTAGAAACCTCTGAAACTAAATCCGAACATATGTACAAGTACAAAATCATCATACAAACCTATTGGAACAATCAAAACCCAATTCCGAGTCCGTTTACCCAAAAGTCAAACCTTGATCAACTCTTCCAACTTAAAGCTTCTAAAACTAGAATGTCGATTGACCAAATTATAATAATTATTATACCTAGCTTAATATATTTTTCTCTCTCATCTCACTTACCATCTACCAAACTTTGCATGGTTAGCTTTCGCATACATCATATTATTTCATTCCCAACACATTTCTGGTATGTTGTGCACTTACTCGAATCATGCATTCTTGCTTTATCTGCTCACCCACTGCAGCTAGGCATGGTATTCTCTGATTCCACAAAGCTTCATTTCTGGCTTTCGATACTCTATATACCAATGCTGCCCAAATTGCCAAAGTAAACTTTCTGCATATTTTCCCTTTGATCTTCCTTGTTATTTTCGAGAAATAACACTCGAAGAACAGATGGGATATTATTTCAGTATTCCCACCACACAACTAGCTAGCAATTAAGTTGTAAGATCTTAGGTTTAAGTATTCACAATACTTCAAAGCGGAAGTAAAAGGAAAGAAAGGACAAATTATGCATGATGCTTAATTATTTAAAGCGTCCAATTTTAAAGGTAAGTTCCACTTTTAAACTTAGGTTGTCAAGTCTTTCAACAAAGCATTAAAATGAATGTTTCATGTGTCAAAATCAAAGCAACCATTTGAGAATTGAGAAACAACACGGATATAGTAAGGGACCCTCAATATTAGGTTTCATGTATGGTACTTATTATACCACAATCAAAATTAAGCTCACTCCTATGTGTCAATAATATTTATATGGTCAAGTCACTTATTTAATAATTACAGGTAAATTTATTATTAAATATGAATTAGTAATTTGGTAAAATAATAAATACTGCTATCACAGATTTTTTTTTTTTAATCCATCCCCAAGAACTCCTTACTTTGTTCTCTTGGTGACTTGAACCCACAATTTTAGAGTTTGAGGTGGATGAGTTTATTAATTGAGTAATTCTTTCTTGTCTGCTATCACAATTTAAAATTTATTGACAGTGTAAAAGAATCTTTATAAATGTTACTCCCTTTGTTTCAGTTTATGTGAACTTATTTCTTTTTTCGTCCGTTCTAAAAAGAATGACTTATTTCTAAATTTGGAAATAATTTAGCTTAAACTTCCAATTTTATCCATAATGAGAAGCTTTTATAGCCACACAAATACTCTAGGGCCCTTTTTGACCTGTGTAGGACTACAAATTTCGAAAGGTCATTTTTTTATTAAACTCTGTGCACAGTCAAACAGGTTCACATAAATTGAAACGGAGGAAGTAGTATATACAATTTAAATCCTTGTGAAAATTGGATCATATTAGATATCTCTCTCTCACTTGGCTTTTCATCCAATGATCTCCACCGTCCAGTTAATAAGTCTCTCAAACCTCTATAAATACAAATGTTTACTCACTTTGATTTACACTCAACCTCCTTGCTTGTTTTCTTCATTTCCACCATCAAGACACTCACTTCTCCCCTTTCCCATAAGTTATGAAGTAAGCTTTGAGTCATCATCAATGGCTTGCTTGGAACTCTCCAAAGAGGTAATTTTTTTACTCATCATCTATTTACTTTCTTTCTATTAATCAAGAGTATTAATAATTTAGTTATAAAATCAAGAATTAACTTTAATTAGTCCTAGTTCTTTTTAATTCTCTAGAAGAATTAAAAAGCATTAGATTTCTATCTTTATAATCTTGTCATGCAAAGAGAACACATTTTCCTTTTCTATTATAGTACTATATTTTTTCAAGAAAGTGAAAGAGATTGATGATTTCACTAATCATCAGGTGAAGCAAGAAGAAGAAGAAGAAGAAGAGTGCACTAATGATGGAACTGTTGATTTTCATGGAATGCCTGCAATGAAAGGAAAAACTGGGACATGGAAGGCTGGAATTATACTTCTCTGTAAGCTTTTTCTTCTTTTACACAAAATTAAACCACAGTTTTATCTTGAGTAATATATGGAAAAAGAAGGAACAAAAAACTGATATTACACTCTGCTTATCTTTCTTTTTATATATAGTTCCTCCCACCTTATAAAGTTGTCAGTACACTTTGTATAAAGTATTAATATAATTTCTCTGACTTATTTTTAATTTTTTCTTTTGTTTATTACTTGGCGTGTGGAAAAGGTGGTCTTCTTAGAGTTGCCAACTTCTTCAAGATTTTATTTTTCTTTTCTATTTTAGTGTAAACAAATAAAAGTTTTGAATAAAGGTTGATAACTCTGGGAAATTGTGAGTTAATAAATGAAGCCAGCTATCATATGCAAGGAAACTGGAATATGACAAGAGTTCAAAAGTGCAAAGTTTCTAAATTTAAGTAAAATACTTAAGACACGTGTCAAAAGAGGGTTCTCTGATTTGAGAGAGATCAGAGAAGAAACTTCCAGTTTCTCTGTACTTTTGTGATATGAATTTGGCAGTAATAGCAAAAATTCTGTGGAAGAAGACGAGAGAGAAAAAAGGAGGGGGTGTGACAAAAGCATGCAGTAATAGAAAAGACATTTCTGACACGTAAATATATTCATGCGACTGTAGGTGCCACGTCATATAATGACAAAATTTTGTTCTATTGATCACGATTTTTGCTTATCCTACTTTTTGTTTCTGTGTGTGTTTTCTTTTATTATTTACGTTTTTTCCCAAAATAATTACACCCTCCATTTTATATTGTTTGAGCTAGTTTGACTCGGCACGGAGTTAAAAAAAAGACTTTTGAAACTTGTGGTCTTAAAAGAAGAAGGGGTAAAAGATTTGTGGGGCCATGCCATTTGTGTGGCTATAAAAGCTTCTCATTAAGGGCAAAAAGGGTAAAATGAAGAGTTTAAAGTTAAATTATTTCCAAATTTAGAAATGTGTCACTTATTTTGGAACAGACTAAAAAGGAAAGTAGCTCATTTAATATAAAACAGAGGGAGTATTTGATCAGATGGATTGTATTCAGTAAACATGATTGTTAGTTTGTTAGCTATGAGATATTGAGGATGGATGTGTCGAGGGATGTAAGATGATAAGTTTTATGATTTTCAAAAAAGTTGAAGGAAACCAAAATGGAAGTGCATATATAACAAGATGCGGTATAAATTAAGTTTGGTGTCAACTTACTACAACTATGTAAGCTGCAGGAAAAAAAACACGTGGTACGCGCAGATATAGGGTTCGGATTCTATTAGATCTATGCATTAATTAGCCGAATAGATGGATGACGTATTATAAATTGAAAGGCGTGCGTATTAAAAGTCAAAAGGTGTATCGGTAAATGTAAGTGTTCTTATCACATTTTATGATTGGTCATTGGCGTAGCACGTAGAAGAATGACGTATTAAAAGCAGAAAGGCATATCAGTGAATAACCAGTGTTCTTATCACATTTCTTGATTGGTCATACCTTGTCGTTTATTGAGAATGTAGTGACCAGTCCGGAAGGGAGGATTTTGGCATGCCTTGATTGGTCATTCTACTATTCAGAGAAGAAGGAAAACATATCGAATGGAGCATGGAAGGATTTATTGTATATAAACAACAACAACAACAACTACTACTACTACGTACAACAACAAAACTAAAGTCATTCTGCATGCCTTATTAGGGTACTTTATTTTGTTGGGAAAAAAATAAGATGACATAGGTTACATAAGATCTATCAAGGTAAAATGATTAATGATTGGAGTTCTTCTCATGCATAAAATTGGCAAAAAGAGCATAGTGTTGGCATGTTTTGACATTAGGGCATAGTGTATTGGTAAGTTTTGACATTAGGACATAGTGTTGGCAAGTTTTGACATTTGAGTGCTTGCTTAGGTAGTGACTTGGTTTAAAGAGGAAAGAAAAAGAGGAAGCAAAAGATATTTAATTTCTTTCCACAACATGGCATAGAAAAAGATTACCTTCCACTATTGAACGACCTAAGGGATCGTTTGGTAGGATATATTAGGGAAAATAATACGTGTATTAGCTTTGGTAATATTATTAATCTCTTGTTTGGCAGTAGTATTTTTCAACTTATGTATAATACACTATATTCGGTATTATTCTTATACATGGCATACCATAGCATTAGCAATACCATGATTTTTAATACATGGATAAGCATGTATAAAGATAGAATCGGCCTTTCAAAACCTTTCATACACCAAATCAAACAGTCGATAAGAAATAATCTCAGTGTAACTAATAACAACATTACTAATCCCAACAGTACTATACACCCTGTTTCAGTACTATTCTTATACATCCCACCAGACACCCCACCAGACGACCCCTAAATTCTATAGGAATATCACACCTAGGTTATGGTTAACTGCCTTAGTAAGTGTTAATTGACTTTGTAGTGCAAAATTATCACTAATTTCAACTCTAAATCTAATACAGTAAAATGCATTGTGAATATCAATTTGACAAGAAATTGACTGGAAAGGAAAGAAATGATAGGTCTATTGAAGTGACCTAATTAACAAACCTAGTATAATGCTTGGCCACAACTTGTGGTGGTCTTTTCATCTTACTTGAGAGGCTAAAGTTGAAAGTTCTCCACATTTTCACAAGTGTGTCTTGACATTGATTGATTGCTTGATTGATTTACCTATTCAGTCAGTAAATCCCACTATACATATTTAGGAGAATGTAACATCCATATAACCAAATTGACTGATTCAACTATCTCATATACGTCATATACGGACGCTCTTCTAAAGTTGAAAGTTGTCTACATTCTGCAAGTGTGTGATTGATCGATTTACCTTGTTAGCCATGCTAAATCCCATTATTTAGGATAATTTAACATCCCCATATATTAAAATGATTTGATTCAACTATCTCATAGACTGATGCTCTTTTATCTTACATTACTTGAGAGGCTAAAGTGGAAAGTTGTCCATAATTTCGCCTACTATGCCTTGGTCTTGAACATTGATTGATTTACCTAGTTAGCCACTTAATCGCACTATGTAGGAGAATGTAACACCGATAAAAGCAAATTGATTGATCAACTATCTTATAAACAAATGCCCTTTTGTCTATAATTGAGCAATAAAATGGATCACCTAACTTTCTTTTAAATTTGTTTTCACTGTGATTTTATCCAGTGAATCAATGTTTAGCTACTCTTGCCTTTTTTGGTGTTGGGGTGAATTTGGTGTTGTTCCTAACAAGAGTGATGCAAGAAAGCAATGCTGAGGCTGCTAATAGTGTGAGCAAATGGACTGGCACTGTGTACATCTTCTCTCTTGTTGGTGCTTTTCTTAGTGACTCCTACTGGGGAAGATTCAGAAGTTGTGCCATTTTTCAGGTCATCTATGTGATTGTAAGTATCCATTACGTCGCATCTGACACACAGTTTAATGAAATTCACAATCAAACAGATTTCTTATTCCATCATACTTGTCAATCTTGCTATTAATGATTGGTCCGGGATGCAAACAGGGATTAGTACTATTATCACTGGCGACACAACTTTATTTGCTGAAACCGAAAGGTTGTGGGGATCGAACAACTCTATGTGGACCGCATTCAACCATGGAGATTAGTCTATTCTACATCTCTGTGTGCATGATTGCTCTAGGATATGGAGGCTACCAACCTAACATTGCTACCTTTGGAGCTGATCAGTTCGATGAGCATGATCCAAGAGAGAAACAATCCAAACAGGCCTTCTTCAGCTACTTCTACCTGGCCCTGAACCTTGGTTCACTTTTTTCTAACACCATTTTAGACTACTTTGAGGATGACGGGATGTGGGCTCTTGGTTTTTGGGCATCTGCTGCTTCTGCTTTTGCTGCATTGGTGCTCTTTCTTGGAGGCACCGTGAAGTATAGGCACTTTAGGTCTAGTGGCAACCCTATAACCAGGTTTTCCCAAGTTATAATCGCTGCATCGAACAAGTGGAGAGTAGAGATTCCAGAGAATGAAGATGCATTATACGAAGGCGATGAGGAGAGCTCCACAACTGCTGGTGGAAAAATGCTCCGCACCCAAGGTTTCAAGTGAGTATAAAAGTAGTAATGTCCAATTCAAAAGATAGTTATGCCTAATTTGTGGCCTGTGTATTTTGTCCATTTAAGATGCTCTTTTATTAAACACAGGTTTTTGGATAAAGCAGCTTTGATAACATCCAAGGAACTTGGCAATGAGAAGCAGAGCAATCGCAACCCCTGGTGCCTCTGCCCAATTTCACAAGTTGAAGAGGTGAAATGCATCTTGAGATTGATGCCAATTTGGCTATGTACTATAATTTATTCTGTAGTTTTCACACAAATGGCCTCAATCTTCGTCGAGCAAGGTGATGCAATGAAAACTACAATCGGGAAATTCAGGATACCAGCAGCAAGTATGTCTAGCTTTGACATCATGAGTGTAGCAGTTGTAATATTCCTCTACCGCCGAGTCCTTGATCCTTTTGTCAAAAAGATAAAGAAGCACAAGGGTGAGGCTCTAGGGATAACTCAACTTCAACGGATGGGTATTGGACTTATCATAGCTGTGATGGCAATGCTATCAGCAGGAATTGTGGAGTGCTACAGGCTCAAGTATGCTAGAAAAGACCAAGGCTCAATCTCTCTAAGTATCTTATGGCAAATTCCTCAATACTCTCTGATAGGAGCTTCAGAAGTGTTCATGTACGTAGGCCAACTGGAGTTTTTCAATGAACAAGCACCCGATGGACTCAAAAGCTTCGGTAGTGCACTGTGCATGACATCGATATCACTAGGAAACTATGTCAGCAGCTTACTCGTGAGCGTAGTGATGAAAATTTCTACAACTGATAACATGTCTGGATGGATCCCAGGAAATCTTAACAAGGGTCACCTCGACAGGTTTTACTTTCTCTTAGCTGGCTTGACTATCTTAGATTTAGTTGCTTACATAGCCTGTGCTATGTGGTACAAGGGTATAAAGCATGGTGAAATTAGTCAAGAACTTAAGGAAGAGGACAAATGTAAAGTCTAATGTACCAGACAGAATTATCATACTTTTAGGCGTATTTTGCCAGAACTAAATAAATTAGAGGAAGAACTAGTTCTCCTCAACTGTTTGTACAGATTTCTTTCCATACAAGTTCAACTTAACCCATTCGAAGCACCGAATTTTATCCTCAAATTTTAAACTAAAAATCTCGACTTCAGGAAAAAATTGAACTGGTCATTTCTACAACCAAAGTCAACTTACAAGAGCTGGAGAGTTCTGGACTGGTTATAATGCTAGTGTCATTGTTGGCTCCGACATATTAGTTGTAGAATTGACAAACATTTTGTTGGTTCCGTCATATTAGTCGTAGAAGGTGACAAGCATTTAGGAGTTCAATAGCAAAATGAGTTGGATCTAGCGAATAATTCAGTGCCAGAAGAACCAGTATCCATCTTAAAAGCACAAATTGCATTGATATGGACAAGTGTAACATTAACCAGTTTTTACATCAAGAAAAATTTCAATAGCCAACGAGTTCCGAGGAACAGTCAAGAATTCAGCTTTTGGAACCAAAATTAACCAACGTACAGAGGAACCGTGTCGTTTAAATTGTTCTGTTTTGCTTTGCCTCTGATCCTGATGAATTGTTTTTGAGTTCCTATGCACCAGCACATATCCAGAAGGGAACTGTGATAAAGACAACTACACACATGGCTAAAGCACAAAAATAAATTTCATATGATGCTACACGAAGTTATCAAAACTTAAGCTTCCATCCGCCAGAAAGTTCACAATTACAGGAACATCTGCGCCTAGAATTTAAGTTTTAAGAAGATATCTCCCGTTTTCATCATACAAGGAACAACTTCAGATGTATATAAGAAACTTTGAAAATTTGTATCCTAGATGCCTACCACTCGACGTGATTACACCAAAATAAATGGTTGCTACACGTATCAACTTTGAACCTTACGGACTTGTATGTGGTGAGTAGAATGTCTACGCCAGATTGGTTGTGCTCCACTTTGGACAAGAGTTACATATTGCCCATCCTTCACCAAGCTTTTGCTCTACAGGATGCAGGAAACAAAAAGATTAACTGTGTGTACATGGAGCACCCCAAACAAGAAATGCCGAGGGAAATACAGCATTAAAAAGAAAAGGAATGATCACTAACCAACAAAAGCTTGATAGCTCGAGAAAAGGTCTCCTCTGCGTCACTTGAAAACTCCATATATATAGGCACGACACCATGATACAGAGCCAGACGCTGCTTCACCCTTTCACTGGCACAAAAAGATAATATATAAATGTACATAAAACAATACACACAGATGAGTATATATATATATATATATGAGAGAGAGAGAGAGATGAGATATTCACATGGTAGACAAGATCTAAGTTGCTCGGACACGGGTGTGGGTGTCTGACACAGATGTAGATCTAGAGGTCTGATCCTTTGAGATGTAAATTCTAAGATTCGAGGATATGGATTTTAATACGGATACGGGTGCGGGGATCCTACTATAAATAATTCAAAAAAAAATCAAAATATCTCTAAATTATGAGAAATTTTGTGGAATACTTATGTATAGCTTGTAAAGTGTGAATTTATTCTTTATTCTCAAGTTGTAGATTGATTTCCTAGATAAGGTATGCTATTTTCTTCAAATTTACCTTAGTTTTGGTTTGATTTCGGGAACCAAATTGTCATCTCGTTTCGAATCCATCGGTCAAAGTACCCAAAATTGTTTGACCAGATCCAGTACGGATCCCATACCCACACCCAAACCAATACTAGTGTCGTGTCGACGCGTGTGCGGCACCTAAGCTGTTGTGTCTGAGCAACTTAGGACAAAATTAAGAATCTGCATCAAGATTTCTTGACCTCCCATGTTGAAAATACTGACCCCTCCAAATATTTTGTTCCAATTATGAACTTTTTCTTCAGAGATCGCCTTTTCAAAATGTCAAACAAGAGTTGCAAACTCCATAATAAAACAGGGGACATGGCAGAGAACAGCTTGATCACAGGCAGTCAAAAGCTCTGGAACTATTTCAGAATGGGGAAGTAAACAAACACAAGTTTACTAAGGTAAATTAATCAATAAGATCCAAAGATTGTCGAGAAAATAATTAAAAACCAACTAACTTCCACAAAGACTAGTCCTAAAATTTAAGTACTGAAAACTTCCTTCAACATTTAAACAGTGTGAAATGATTTGAATCACCATGAGATACAATAATATTAGCGATCTCATTGAATTATATCATGATACAATATTAATAAGCTAATAGTACTTCTTTAAGGGGACTTACTTGTTTGTGAAGGCAAAAACTGTTGATGAAGGCCGATTATGACTTAACTTTATTGCCATGGACCCAGTTCTTGTGAAGACAATGATGGGAGTGCTAAGGGTATTAGCCATTGAGGAAGAGTGGAAGGCAAACATTTCACCCATATGGCTCTGCAAAATATATCTAATAGATTAAGCATTTTACTTAAACAATTAAAGATCAATGTGGTTTCCTGGTTGGACAATATGAGAAATTAAAAGTCTGGTTAGCTGAAAAGAATTGAATTCATAGCACAAAAACATATTAAGATCCAATATTATATATTATACATACACCGCATATGTACCTTATAGGCGGCAGATTGACTAGGAGAACTAGTGCTTTTTTGTAGGCTAGACTCAGTCCTTAATGCCACAATATGCATCACCTTAACTGCCTTCAGTGGATACCTAATGCATTTAAGGAAATAGATGGTTCAATATTTACAAAATGAATAACACATAGTATAACAAATGGAAACGCAAAGTAAAGAAGAAAATTCTCATTGCAAACTCAAGTGAGAATACATCATGAAAATTTGATAACTCCCGAATTAGACAAGGAAGAAAAAGAAAACGGAGTGGCATAAGAAAGGGAATACTAGAAAAGAACATAACCATGAGGATCTGGCCATCCATAATAGAAAAATAGTCAATGCAGAGATATAAAAACAAATATGCATGCAGAGAAACCTGATATCAATTTAAGCAAATAGTAGAAAAGCAGTCGTAGAAATTAGAAACCAAGATGGATAGCGGAAAATAGGGAAGGCATGTGGAATAGTTTGTGCCTAGAACAAAACTTACTTCCCATGAGCGGTTTCGCCTGAAAGCATTACAGCATCAGCGCCTTCACGTACTGCAATGGAAATGTCTGAAACTTCTGCCCTTGTTGGGGTTGGGTGATCAATCATGCTTTCGAGCATGTTCGTTGCTACTATTACAGGTTTTTGCATGCTCTGACACCTTCTAATAATGTCTTCCTGTGGATACATGCAATAGCATTTTTTAGTTCTCACTAAGTTCCTAAAGTAAGATACAAAAGGGTTTGGAGAGGTAGGAATATCTCCAATAGAAAGGATCATTGACTGTGGCTATAAGGAATGCAGTTCAGTGGTCTGTAATCGTGTTTCAGTAATTCTAGCACTTAAAATTGATTGTGTTAATAAAGAAAAATAAAATTGATTATGTTAAGAAATAGAAACAATGACTTCCTAAACTTGCAAACGTTTTTCTGTTGGTTTCTTCCAATTACATCAGAAATAGAATAATCATTCCCTTCCGACCAAATTGACAATAAGTCACTAACCTTTGACAAGAGTATGATAACACCACACAACACCCAAGTTCGGAAAAGAGGCATAAAATGTTTTTGGAAAGTAAACCGTGCTGATTGAAAGAATGAAAAAAGAGTCTTGTTGAACAATTGTTCTGCTATATTTGCGATGGGGTTTGGTTGCTGCAGACGCATCAGGGTGGGGGTGGGGGTGGGGGTGGGGGTTGTGGTGGTAACAGGCTGAATGAAACATGACAAGTTTGTTTCGATGGGCATTACAGCTGTATCGGAGAAAAAGGTAGACAAAAGTGATACTCAGAAATAGTCCAAACGTAAATGGAAACTCCACAACTCAGTAAACTAACATGAAGATTTTTCATAAGCGGCAGTGCAGTGTTTCTCCACCCGAATTACTAGGAGTTTTGATCGCAAATCTATGCAACTGTGCTACATATTAAAACAGTCTAGTTCAGTTGCCAGGGGAATATATCTTTTGAACATGCTGGTTAACTTGCCATGGGAATATATTAACACAAAATTTGTGAAAATCAACATCAATACTAAATAAATATATTCACCCATTACCCGCATCCCTTCTATAAATTAGTTTTATCACATAAATTTTGCAACCCAAATTAACCAAAGAGCAAAGATTTAACCAAGATGGTGTGGTTGGTGATGAAAATTGGAACGTTTAAGCCTTTTCTAGCAAGAGATGGTATTCTAAAGATCTCACCCTCTCCATTCTTAATAACATGGGTAGTAAGCTATTAAAAGGCTCATAAAAGAAGCTCTATGTATCAGCATTGAAATTACCTGAAGCAATGGGACTTCCTCAATTGGAAGTTCAGCTCCAAGATCACCACGGGCCACCATTGCCTATCAACAGTTGCATAACATAAGAAAAATATCCAAGAAGATGTTAAAGTAATCGCTATTATCATTTAAAAGATCATATATCTGCAATAGGAGTACTTTGGCTTATATGGGCAGGCTTGATATTGCTAAATTAAACAACTTCCTCACCAGTAGAATTGTCAATAAGCTTTGAGACAACTCCCATTAGTACGAAGAGCGTTTTGGGGAGCAACAAGAACTACACAAGAAGATTGACCATCCCTTCTTCATAAGACTACAACTATATTTTTACAGCTTTCCTAGTTCTTCTATTAATAATTTCGACAGCAGCCAGAAACTTCCAAAACAAATGTATTCCAAGAAAGCAAATCAGAAGTCAAATGTTGCTAGTAAAAAGTTCTACGAAGTTTCCAGGAAAGACTCCTGATAGGCATCCATCGAAAGCCTTACAGCCAAGATATTGCCTAGATGTGTAAAATACAAAGGAGAAGGATTGAAGACAATCAAAGGCTTCTCGCAGCCTTCTACTGCCAAACTAGTTAAAATAAGGAATGTTGAAGCTTTTGAAAGCTAGTACTGTCACTTGTTTCTTCTCCTTTTCTTCTGCTTCCTTCCATCCAAATGAAGCTCAAAGTTCCACATGAACCTTTCACATACTGTTCATCATAGCATGAAGCAATCCTTTTCTCATTGTACATAATTCTAGCAATTTGATTATCATAGAGTGACTACTGATGCTATTGTATATGTTCTTTGCTCTTCACATTTCTGTAAAAGGGCTCACCGTATCTTGAGAATTCATTTTAATTTTCACCAACATCTTCACTGCATCATCCTTTACTCGATAAATAAAAGCAAGACACTATTGATACTGCTATTTTTTTCTTTACGGAGCCTTACCCTACACACACGCATACACACACACACACACACACACTAACATAGCAAAAATAGCATGAGTGATTACTGAAGTAAATTAATTAGACAACATTTTCAAAAGATTGAACTAACCCCATCAGAAGCGGAAATGATCGAGTGGAGATTTGGAATGGAGTCTGCACTTTCAATCTTTACAATAACATGAATATCTGCATTACAGCCTGCAGAATAGCTCTTCCAACTTAAACAAACAGATATTAACCATGAAATGCTATGACAAGGTTACATCCCTATAAACATAATAGGCAGAAGATCTTATCCCAAAACAAAGGAAAGAAAAACATAATGGGTAGCAGACACCTTACTTTTCAGGTAATCTTTCAATTCATGGACCACCTTAGCATCCTTCACAAAAGAAACGGCATAGAAGTCGACTTGATTGTCCACACCAAACTTAATATCATCCCAGTCTTTCTCTGTATAAGTTACAAAAAGATCAAGCTAACACGTGATCTTAGAAGAACAACTGAGTAAGCAAAATATTGTAGGGAGGTAGGGGTCCAGAAATTGGATAACCTGTTATTGAAGGCAGGGTGGCACTTTTTCCTCTTACATTTAGATGCCGTCTCGATTTCAGTTCTCCTCCATCAATAACTTCACATTTCACTATATCACTGGTTTTCGATTTCACAGCTAATGACATCATCCCACCTGGATGAAGCAGAGCAGGTATTTGATATTTTATGGGTCTAAAAGTTTTTTTTCCAAGCGACAGGAAAAATTGACAGTAAATCTACATCCAAAGACTACTCTTCTCATTATTGAATTTATGTTTGAGATGAAAACAATCAGAAAACGATATTTAGTCTTGGAAAGAATTATTCACAATTACTAATCAAATTCCAACATTGTGTGCTCCAACTAGTTAATAAACTAAGAAACAACTCACTGCACTATACTAGTATAAATCATTACTCATTACAGAAAAGTAATATTTTGAATATAATTAGTTGTAGGTTGTTACTCATTAACACTTAACTATTAAAAGAAATAAGTACCATATCTCATGAACACAAAAAAGAAAATATTGTTATCAACCAAAATAGAGTAGAAAAGCAAGATTGGAAGAGAAAAATACGGAGAACTGACTAGTGAAGACTAAGAAAAGTTAAGACATGGAAACTTTCATATGAAAGGTTCCATTTGAAACTCTCCTCATGGTGTTCTCAGTCAAAGAATACGAGATACTAAGACTCCATTCAAGTTGCAATGTTCTAAACTTCTGATTCGTGATCAATGAATGGAGCTTTGAAAAAAGAAATAGAGCTTTTGAGGAGACAAGGGCTAACTAAGGAATTTGGGAGGGGGGCCTACAAGGCGAACTGCACACGGTGAGACAATTGCCTCCCACGTTCACCCAAAGGCGTTTCTTAAAGTGTCTCATCCTGAAGCAAGTCCCAGTTTTGCCTTTTTAGAACATTGTTTGTGCTATAGCTTTGTTTTAGCTAAGCAAAATGAATAAACAGAAACTCAATTACCATCAACGAGTAGTATGTCTCCGGCCTCCACATCATTTATGAAATCATCATAATTTACACTAACGGTGTCTTCTGTGCTGACTCCTCTTTTAATGCTAAAGTTGAATTCTTGACCCTCCTTAAGGAGAATTGGTTTGGGCACATCTCCACTTCTTACCTCAGGTCCCTACAAGATATATCACAGGCAACCAAAGAATATGATGGAAGGAGCTTGTTAGCATAGTGCGTGTTTATACTAGCACTTATATCTCATCTTAAAACAGTAAACAAACAATTTATTTTCAACATCGAATGGCAACTGATAATTGTTATCCACAATGCAGTGACTTGTTTTTTTCTTTTTTTTTGATAATAGTAACATCAATTCAGTAACTTGTTCATAGAACAACAAGAAACATTAGGCATTTTTTACAATTGAAGATGAAAAAACAAGTAACAGAAGATGGATCTCAATTTTAATTTCCTTTTGGTCGAAAAATAGTACCCAACAAAAGCAAAAGCTCAGTTCGACGACTCTCATATCAGTTGAAATAATTATATTGCCACACCCATTTGCAAAATTGTGAATCCCAAAACCTAACGAACAGACTAGCACCATACAAGTTCCACATGCACCCAAAAGTTTGAAGTCTATTTTCTGGTGATGCTAGTGATAAGTGGTAGCTACAACGACTATTAATGGACAGGATTGTCCAGTGTCCAATCTGTTTCTTTGATAGAATAAGAAACAAAATATTAAGGAACATGTCCGGCAGGCCTCAGCATACAGAATAGAATACCTGGAAAACAGTTTTACCATCTAGTCGTCCCAAACTTAGTTTATAAAAGAAAGGAGCCCAAGTCTTTGTTTGATATATGAAAAGGATGTTTTGTCCCTTCACCTTCATTACTCTACCACCACCACCAACACCACCCCATACCCTTCTCACAGTGTTCCCAAGGATTAGCAAAATCGAAATGGTGAAATTCTTTGGTCATCTCAATGGGTTCAAAAGCCACTGAAGCTACACATATTTTCTTATGATATTGACACTCCAAACAATAGTAAAAGGCAGGACAATTGAATAACCAAAAAAGTGCTGGACACATGTATCCCACTCCAACCGGCAACATATTAGACCTATGCTATTAATGTTCTTTCCTTTTTACAGCGGTAGTCTCTGGGTCAGCTTCCGAGTACTTGTTATCTTCCACCAACACAGCTACTGCGTAACTCTGCCCAATAAAGCTTAGGCTTATGGGAAGAAATCACCTAGTGGCTTTGTCTCTACCGAGATTTGAACCATGATCTCCAAGGTTTGCACCCACTTCATTGATCACTAGGCCACATCCTCGGGTGCTTCGACCAATGCTATTACTGTTTCAAACATACATTTTAAACAGAAACTAATAATTGCAGCTATAAAGCTAATAATAAGCATTACCTTAGTGTCCAACATTATTGCAATAACCTTGTCCTCAAATTGAGCATTGTATTCTTTAACAAGGTCAATCGTTCTCTGATGCGATGCGTGGTCCCCATGTGACATATTCAGACGGGCCACGTTCATTCCAGCCTCTGCCAATTTCCAGATCATCTCCCGTGAGCTTGTGGAGGGACCAATGGTGCAAACTATCTTGGTTTTTCTTGGAGAATTCAGATACACACTTTCTTGCCCCAGACTGTAACCACTGGACTGAACAACAGAAGGGACAAAATTACCATAACTTGCTTTTAAGGACAAATGACACATTAGAATGTTCAAAGTATGCACTGTTACAGGAAACAAATAGTGAAAAGGGAATAAGCTCATTTTGCTCAAATTAAAAAACATCTATTAAACTTGAAAACATTAGAAAAGGCATGCTCAAAGTGTCAGAGGCACTAAGCTCTTCACTAGAAGGAAATGGTTTGAATTTCTTTGCTCTCTTTTCATATGTTCCTCTTTTTGCCCTTCTCTGAGATATCAAGAAAAAATACACCATGAGGCAACATGGTTTGCAACTCTTCCAATTAAATTCAGCATCAACAGTTCATATGGGAGTCAACTGATACTTTAACAAGCGTCCATCATATTCTCAAGACATTCAGAAATTATTATTAATGGCTCAATGGCATAATCCTGCTTTTGGAGATACTACTACGATGGAATACAAGCAATAAATCACAATGTAAAGCAAACTCATGGAGACCACTCTGCATTGTGGAGGATCTTTATGTTTGCTTTAAGATATATCACAAGCATAGGACCAATTCATGAATGAAAGTCAAAAGTAATAATTGGCTAACAGAGTATACCAGACTAGGACCAATTGCTAGATAATCTAGAGGAATTCACATCCCTCCATTTACTTAAAAGTTTAGCTAGAGAAAAATTCAGGATGCATTTTCTCATGAATGACTGTCATTCTTGCCAATTAAAATTTATATACTTCCGCATCTACTCTATTGCACTTGGTTTAGAAGGCCAGCCTTTACCGGGCGGAGCTATGTATGGTGAAGGGGGTTAAACTGTGCCGGTTGTACTGCATATATAGGTTTAAAAGAAAGTTATATATATAACCAGCACAGAACACCCTTCACCATACATAGCTCCGCCACGGTCAAGGCTGGCCTTCTAAACCAAGTGCAATAGAGTAGATGTTGAATCCCCTTTATATAAAGAAAACTTTTTAGTGCAATGTTGCTTTCTGAATCCCCCTGTTAGAATTTCAGGCTCCACCACAAGCGTTGACGTTGCTTCTCTGGTGAACTGTAGGACAGAGTAGGAGGCACGGAAACAGCCCCTTGGTTCACATGCAAGATAAATGTTCCATAAGATATACGGCCGCCCTCCCCTGTCCTGCAGTAGCCCGAAAGTATTTCATGCAAGGGGTCAACTTTAACAAACGCCAAAGGGGAGAACTAGAGTGCTTCACATTTTTGGCTAGAAAAGCTGATGTCAGTGACGTGTAACATAGAAAGAATAAGGAATAAACAAAAGTACAGGTCATTAATCAATCATCAATAAAGAGCTGAAGAAACTTACAGAGGGTACATTGAAATTAACATAATTGGCATAAACATTGTTATTAACGCCATGAATATGCTCAGGTGATTGAACGGCCATGATTTGATTCCAAGTATTCACTCGTTTCCTGTGACGAGAATCGGAGAAGAACAAATCACCGACGTTCTTGGCCGAGGAAAGCCGATCCAATGACGCCGGTTTAGCTGCGGCGTGTAGTCCTGTAGGTAGATTCATTGTGGCCATTGAACAAGTAACAGAAGATGAAGAATAGAAGAAAGAGAGAGAGAAAGATATAGAGCTGTGGTAGCTACGGAGAAAACGAGAAGAAAAAACTTGGAGAGAGTGTGTGTGTGGTGAATGTGAGGAAGAGGGAAAAAACAAAGAGAAGTTGAGTTCCGAAGAGAGCGGCTGTCTACAGAGGCTCAGAGGATTTTGAGACTGTTGGTGACTAAGACATTTTCTAATTTCTTCTCTTCTGCCCTACTGTCCCACCAAACTCGCGCTTCCCCCACGCACCGCACGTTTGCTTCACTCTCCACTACTATTTTTTTATTTTCTTCCTTTTATTGGATAATAATATATACTTTTACTTAATATGTTTTGTCTTTTCTTGCTCCTTAAAAATAATAAATAAAATGCATAATATATCATAATTTTTATTTTAATTGATGCATATTTTATTGGATTTGAGAAAATAATTAAAATTAGTAATAAATACCGTGGATATAACAGGAGATTTTTTTGTTTTCTCTTAATACGCATAAAGTGTCAAGTAAAAATAAAAATTTATTTTTTATATATATATCAAATAAAAATGAACGAAGGAAATACTAAAGTACTATTGTATATGAATAATAGAAGTGCGGATAAAAAGTACATCTTAGTTGTTTATTGGTTTAATATGAATATTAAAATAGAATAAGTAAAAGGCTGACTTTACTAAGCCCTACAAGTTAAGAGCGTCAAATTCAGGGGCGAATCCAGCGCGTGACTTATGGGTTTACGCGAATGTGTAAATGTTTTTTAAAAATTCACTAAATATCTATAAATATTTGAATGTGAACCTAGTTACTATTGAAAATTTACTCGAGATCGTTGTAGGAATCATAAATATTAAATTTTGGATTCGCTTTTGGTGTCAATTGTGTATTACCGTTTTTCTTAGCGTCTGTTTGGAAAGCCATTCGATAATTGGAATTTATGTAAATAATAATCTGTTTGTTAGTTATAACGTAAATACAATTATAATTACAAGCATAATGTTTGTTTCTTTTACCATTTCCTTTAGGAACGAGTTGTGCGAATTTGGTTTTCGTTTGTTTCTCAGTTTTGGGTAGTGTAACATTCTTATGTATAACTAGGAGTGAAAAAACGGTTAAAAGAAAACAGTTAATTATCCATATTATTCACTAAAAAATAAATTGGATAATGAATTTTTTTAAAACGGTTCAAATATGGATATTATCCATTTAGAAAATGGATAATCAATGAGTAACCAATGGGTCTAACTTTTACATTTGTAAAGCCTAAGTTAGGGAGACTAAGAATTCTCCCAAAAGTAATCATATATAAGAAATCATGGATAATATGGGTAACCCATATTATCCGCCGGTTAACTCATTTTTATCCATATTAAATATGAATCGGATCGAATAATTAATCTGTTTTTTCATTACTCGTTTTCGACCCAAACCATATTCAACCCGACCTGATCATTTGCCATGCTAGGTATAACTCTGCTCGATGAGAACAACAGGCGGGCTTAAAGTGGCTCCCAAATACTCTGATATTTGAGATTCTGATTTGCTAAGAACTTGACAAGTAGGAAAGGACAATGGATGTGGGCCCAATGTGGGGAACATTGTTGAACAAACGGCATGCATGTATGTGACGTGTGATAAGGACAAGCACATTTCGTTATACAAAAATAATAATATGGCATTCCAAAAATAGGATATTCTTAAAGAACATCTCACTATTCCAGGTGCTAACAAAAAACTTAGGGTTACATTTATTTGTAGAATTTTCTTTTTCAAGTTTCGCACAAGAAATTTGAAAGCGTATTGTTTACCCTAAAAAAGAGATAACAGTTAAATTTGTAACAGATTTTAAGGATACGCATAGTAATTCAATACAAACAGTAAATTGTGTTAAATCTATATATTATATTAAAAGGAGAATAGTATGCATTGTGTTTAAGCCAAATGGCAAGCTAAAATAAAGGCACTTGACAATTATAGGACAATATTAATGATTAGAAATTATAAATGAAAACATAATTAAGGGAAGTAGTTTAATGAATCTTATACATAATCTAAATATATCTTAGACAAATCTAATCTCTCTCTCTCTCTCTTTATACACACACACACACACACACACGCACACACACACACACACACACACATATATATATATA